AGGTGCTGTGTGTAAAAAAACAAAAAAACAACTTTCTTTATATTATAAGTTTGTGTATTCTATACTCAATTTTTGTTTTTCTTCTCAGTGTTCGGACGCATTGCCATTGGGGAAGTCTGCCAGCCCCCTTTAACATCTGAAATTGGAATTTGCCTAGTGTCTGCTGTGGCTGACTGCACAATTCAATTACCTTTACCATATACCCTTGTTAAGGAGAAAAGCACAATATTTAACAACTATATAGAGAATTAAATGACTAATACTCACTTGTACATCGTACCTTTTTAGTATTAAGGCATGGCCAGCAGCGCACTCTGTGTCTTATTCAATGAACGTAATGAAGATGGTCTGTTGTACATGTGCTCAAGAGGCAAAATGTATAATTTCCTATCCTCTGCACTGAAATATGTTAAGCTCTATGACAATGTGTATTGCTGTTTTCAGTACTGATAACACATTTTAGAAATATTTTATTGTGCCATATTCCACTGCATTTTATCAAATATTGTTATTTATACAAGCAAATAACCTTTTTTGTTTGTTTTTACTAATAAATACTTGTTTTACTTTGTCTGTGAAGTCGTTACTTCATTAACTTGTAGCTTTCAAATATATATTTATCTTGTGAGCAATCTCTAAGCTGATATGCCTCTAAATGTATGCTTATATGGACTCCAAATTAGTTAGGACCCAATGTGCCGTACCTGTACCCATTGTTATCAAGTGGTTCATGACCACGCAAAAACAGTTCTACTGAGCAAGTTCTGCTATTTACTCTATATGGTCGATAGACCCAGAACTAATGTGGCCTTCTATATGAAGTAAAACATATCAAACTTCCTCATTTAGGGACTACTTTATCTTCGTATTTTTCCACCTCATGACAACGCTTTACACTAGGCCAGGGGTAGGCAACCTTTTAGCAGCACTGTGCCAATATAGGATTGTGATGTCCCGTAGTGTGCCGGTCCTATTTTTTTTAAATAGGTTTGTATGCTGCTGTATTCTGCTTGTGTTATTTTTACTGTAATTGCTTTGTATCGTTGTATTTGTGCGTATATGAGCGATTATATTGTATATGTTCAGGAGTAGTTTGTGGTATCGTTTATGATACATATGAATGTGGGCTGTGTATGGGGGCTGCTTGTGGAATTGTGTGTGTGTGGATGGATATGTCACATTGTGTGTTTGGTAGTGTGTGGGGGCTGTTTGGGTTATTGCATGTGAGAGGCTGCATGTGGGGTTGTGTACATGTATGTGTATTGTTAGCAGGTTACGTTTGTGCGGATTGTATGTATGTTTATTTGTGGGCTGTTTGTATTATTTGTATGAGGGGAGGGTTATTGTGCATTTCTGTGTATATCAAGCAGTGTGGGTGGCTTCCCTGGGTTCCAGTGGGGACCAGGCTGGCCAGATACAGGTCAAGGACAGGAGATACAACAGCAGCTGCGAGCTGCTCTACTACAGTGTTGATTCACAAGTACTGGGAGGAAGTGATCTGAGATCACTTACTCTATGTGCTGCAATGCATAAATTGACGATTGTCCTTCACCACCTTTTCGTATTAGCAGATATCTGAAGTTTCACTGGGACTCCTGATAGGCCAGATCCTTGAGTGCCGTGCAAAGACACCTTGAGTGCCGTGCATGGCACTAGTGCAATAGGTTGCCTACCCCTGCACTAGGCAGTGCTACCACTGTCAAGCCTTGTCATTTCCTCCAGCCATTACCAGGGACTGCTGCATGGAAATTAGTTCCTTATATGGAAGATCACGCAAAATCCTCCATAGATCTCTGTTGAACTCCTGCGCATGTGCAATTATACAGCACTGACATCTCTTGGCAGCTGAAACTCCAGGAACTGAAGAGGAGCGGCAGGAAGTTGATGTTGGTGCACGGAAGGGACAGTTTAATGAACCCAGTTATTCCTGTTCTAGCATTGAGTGGGAGCTACGGTACCAGCTGATCTGTGCCTACAATTTGGCTGTGGTTGGAAACACAATAAACCACAGTGTATAGCCAAGACTTTTGCAAATGTAAATACCACTAATCCAGTTTAAAACACTCTGAACAACAGTGAGGGCACATGACTTCTGGGACTGTAACTCCCACTCCTCCAGCACTGGATCAGAAAGATCACACTGCCTTTGCTGTATCTACTAAAAGACAATATATAGTTAAAAAGTGAGAGCACTCCGTACATCTATAAATTACCACAATCTTAATATTGTAGTACAATTGAACAGAGCTCGACAGCTGCTTCTCAGTCTGCTTTTTAAGGGAAACATTTTCTTAGAAGCACAATTCTAATGTGTGGGTGTCTCTGTGCCCGCTTAGACCCGAACCCAGACGTGGAGGAGGTGTTAACATGATGGATGTGCTTACGTGAGAACGTGTGTACAGTGGTTGCTAGGATACTAGTAAAGTGAGTGTCTCTGTATTCCGCAAGATTGTAAACCTTCCGTGACGAATAGTTTGACAGCTGCTTCTCAGTGTCTACTTTTTAGGCAAAAGATTTTCTTAGTAAATAATGCTGTTAGTAACAGGCAGCACAGTGCTATGTGTGACGGACCTCCAGTACTCCGGCAGAGTACCTTCGCCAAGTCTGCTTCCTTGTAGCCATCAGGGACCCTGGAGCACTTTAGACCCAGTTGCCAAGGCTTGACTGAGATCACGGAGGGATTTTCCCACCCTGGACACGCTTTCCGTCAGCAGATTATATCCCTTTCCCCATACACCAGACAACACTTGGTGAAGGTTAAAACCACTTTTTTTTTAAAATCATATTCTTACTACTGTATTTTTATATTGTTACTAAAAGACCATGTTTTACATTGCAGGGTTAAAACTGAAAGGACCACTGCAGTCAGAACAGGGCATTGAGATGAAGTGGTCTGAGTGTCTGTAGTGATCCTTTACTAGTATCTGTTTCGATAATGTTAAAAAGAAATAACCCTAGTCTTGTGTTTTTTTTTTTCCTCAATTCTTTATTTTTGTCAAGACAAAGATTCAAGCGTATACACAAAAGTCATACATTCAAAATGAATACAATACTGTACGATCATATTCAAGAGTAGCATACAGTACAAATGACTAGTACAATTATCACTGCACATAGTATATGCACCATTTAACAGAGGTCAAGCTGTTTGGGTGTTTTTGTGTAGTATAAAAAGAGAGAGAACATAAAATTTAGAAGAACGAAGAGTGAAAATGGTATCAAACGGGCAGGTGTTTGTCTGGTAAAAGGCCCAAAACCCTGCAGACATCGCTGCCGTTAGACTGGAAATTGCTATAATAAATCAACATACTTCTGTCTCTGAGTGCACTTAGAGATAGAATAATACCAAAAGAGAGAAAGCAAGTGAGAATAAGAAGTGAAAGAGGGTTGTGGGGGGTGGCGTCAGTGCGAAGGGGCATCCACTCCAACAAATATGGTTTCCCTGGAGAGATTCTTAAAAGCGAGGGCAGAAGGACGACACCAGCAACTAAGTGGGGGCGAGTGGAGAGTAGTGGACTGAACCTACCCTGCCACATTGCTGGCCATCCAAGTGTCCTATATTTTATCAAAGGTTTTCAGTGTGCCCTTACCTGAGCTGTCAGCTTATTTATGAAATAAGTATCTTTAACTTAGTCAATAGAGGGGATCTCCTGTTGTAGCAAAGGCCCTTGGTCTTACATTTCTAATCATTATGTAAGATATTAAATGCAGATAAGATTGAAGACATTACACACTATAGGCTGTATTCTCTAAGCATATGAAAGGTATAATGTGATTACCAAATTACATTTGTATCACAGACTTTGTAGAAGGAATAGCTATTTACTTGGCAGGGAGAACGTTTACCCTGAAAATAGCAACAGTGCAAAACAACAGTATGGCTTGGAATAGAAATAAATTAATCATGGAAAAGAACCTTAACGTGGTGAAACACAATAAGCAACTTTCCACTTCTCAATACTGCAACACCACAAATAAACACAAACTGCAATGAAAAATCAACACCCCAAAATACAAAACAACTATTCAAGCGAAGTTGACTGAAGCTGCACATGAAATGTGATGCCTTTGCAAAGACTTGTTGCAGCTGAAGTCATGCAGGGCAGTACATTTCATGTGTAGAGCGACAGTCAGTGAGAAAATAAATTAATGTAAAGAGCCCTTTTTTGCAGAAGCATAGAAAGAGCAGGCTCGCAATGTGGTGAAACAGTCAGTAGGCTAGCACTTTTCTTGTGCTCCTTGAAGAGCAAGAAAGGCAATACTGAAGGATAAAAAATTTAAACAAACACGAGAACACCCCAAAAAAATAAAATAAATAAAACCTAAAAAAAAAGCAAGATGTTTGAAATCCACGTTGAGCAACACATAAAATGTGCTGTCCTTAGAAAGACTTGTCAAACCGGAGGTTAAGCAGGGCAGCCCTTTTCATGTAAAGATCAATGTGTACATGCTTTCACAAACTGGCAAAAAATTAAAAACTATTTCTGTTCACTTGTCTGCCTGTAAAAGGTAGTATCTATCTATCTATGATATATATCCATACCCAAAAACAGATAAATTGATATGAATTTCAATATCAGTAGGTTAATTTCTAGTAAAAAAAACCTTTTTTAGGACAAAAAAGTTAGTGTAAAAAAGGATAATCAATATTAAGGGGTCACTGTGAGACCACAAGCAGTTAGTGATTTGAAGCAAAAAAGGTCATCATTATTGCAGAAGGTGAGCATATAATAAGCCATACATATTTAAGACACCATCAAATTTAATGCGAGTTTATGGGAATCTGATATTGAGACTCCACTTTTTACTGAAACATCATTAGGAAAATTATGTAAATCTCTTTGCTTGGCCTCCCAATGATCCTCTGACTTCACTGTGGTGCTACTGTTCCACTTAGTCATTGCACTGCACAGCAGCCAACTGAACAGGAGGCTAAGAGAGCAGCAGCAAATTCATTCTTTGGTATTACACAGATATTGATACCAGCTAAATATATAATCATGGCTAGACAACAGCCTAAGAAGGGTGAACTCTCTGAGCGCCAGGAGAAAGAACACCAAGGCGACCACCCCTGCATACTAAGGACTGGGGGTTCAGAAAAAACGCCATTGGTGACATTTCAAGCAGAAGGCGCAACTGGAAAGGTATGCCTGCGTGAGGTGGGAAAACACTACCACCTGGCATACAAGATGGCTCGTATCGGGAAACGCCCGGTCAGCACAATGCTATCTGCTCATGGGTTTCAGAAAGTGGAAGCCAGCAGCAGCAATTTCAATTTGATGTGGCCAGGGACCCGCATAAACCCTGTCTTTGTGAACCTTTCCAAATAACAAAAAATAAACCACTTCCCCAATTCTATTGAGTATGGATGCAAGGATCTACCCTGTAAAAACATTCAAATCTTGCAGAAGAAACACACATTCAAACCTTGCAGAAGAAACACGGGAAGCAGACATGCAACTTCCTGCCCCAGAGCTATGTACTTCCTGAGGATTACCTGGAATTCTGTTAATCTCCAAGGATCAGGGTCCTTGGATTGCCTGTGTCTTCCTGTCAAGGCAGCGGAATTAAGTTTATTAATTCCCTCTCTCAGATACACAGAAGGGAAAAGCTGCATGTATCACGGTATGTAAGCAATCCACTTCTTGTTGACGGCAATAGGTTTGACCTACGCCTGTATGTACTAGTCACGTCATATAACCCTCTAATTATTTACCTGTATGAAGAGGGTCTGACGAGGTTTGCCACGGTTAAGTACAAACCAACAGGGGAGAACATGAAAAACCAATTCATGCATTTGACCAACACCAGCGTGAACAAAGAAAATGCAAACTATGTGAGCTCCACAAATCCAGGTGCTATGCTGCGTCACTTAAAGGAAATAGGAAAAGATACAGTGATTCTCATGTCAAAAATAGATCTTAGGACCTATTGTCCGCCCCCCACCATCCCGACCCATGAGCGGCGGGTGAGGGCCCTAAGATAAAACAGGGGGAGACCTATTGTGTCCCCCCCCTCCCTAGCCCCCACCCATTAGTGGCAGGTGGGGGCACTAGTGATAATGGGGGGGTGGGGGCATAGGTCCTCCCCCCTGGCCCCCACCCATGAGCAGCGGGTGGGTGCCCTCAGTGACAATGGGGGTGAAGGCTCTGTCCCTCCCCCCATTGCCACTAGAGCCCCCACCCGCCGCTCATGGGTGGGGGCCGGGACAATAGGTCCTCCCCCATTGCCATTTAGGGACCCGCCCATGAGAGGGGGGAAATAATAGGACCGTCCCCTCCCCTATTTTCATGTCGGGCCCTCACCCGCCGCCCATGGCTCTCATGCCAGTCATTCGAATGAAATTCCGATCCGAACAAAAATTACCAAATGCCATTCTAACAGGAATGAACAAACTGTTCATTCTGTTAGGACAGAATTTGGTAGTTGCATCGGTGTCTATCTATATGACAGGACGCTTGGGAATAGTGAAAGGAGGCATCGCGAGATCAGGTGAGAATTGTGGGAAAATTCCTTTGACCGTGAGAAGTGGGTCAAAGCTGGTCAAGCGTAGGAAACCTCCATAAGAAAAAGTAGTCCCTACTTTGTCTTATGTTTTAAAGAAAACTAGAGCAGACAGGAAGAAAAGAAGAGCAGATCCTGAGAGAGGGAGAGAAGTGGAAGCGATCGGGGAAAGGTAAGATCGGCTGGACAGTGCCGCTTTAAGACGATAATATCAGCGGAAGGCTCTATTGCCTCAGCATTTCAAGGATCTCTTGCTCACAGAGGAAACTGTTTTGAGTTGTATGGTTTTGATGTACTAGTTGATGAGAACCTTGAAGCCCTGGCTGTTAGAAGTGAATCTGATTCCATCTCTGGTTTGTGATAGACCCCTTGATTTAAAAAAAATCAAGGCAAATCTGCTTGCAGACACTCTTACGTTAATTGGTGTGCAGGGTCACAATACCAAGAAAAAGGACAAAGAAGGCCCCACAACAGGACATCAAAAGACAGCTGCAGGACAGACTGAACACTCCATTTTCCAAGAGAGGATAAAGATTGTGGCGAAACCGACCTCGCCACTGGGCATTGGAGAAGACTGATTGCCAGCCTCCTGCCATGTGACTATGGCCCCAGGGATGTATTGCCCTTTAAAGACATGATTTGGGCATAATGGATTTGTGTTGTGCTGCTGCTGGCCCTTTAAGAACCATCTGGGGAGATACTGTGGAGTTACTGGGTGGCCACCATTTCCTGTATCAGAGGCACATGGTGAGAACAATGGATGAAGCACATGGTGAGAACAATGGATGGCAGCCATTTTAACTCACAGACACTGTGTGGACTTTTCTACACGGTGCCATCTCGACGGTATTTGGTGCACAGAGACAACGTGCAGTGGTTTTGGACTATACAACAGGGGACACATTATACAGTAATTGTTTTTCATATAGTCTGTATATGTTCTGCAGAATCTGCATTAAACTGTATCTTCCAAACTACTGAATGGATCTGGGTGAATTTTGGATATGTGGTTCATCCAGGTTCCGAGGATATACTTATGGGGTTGTTGCATGTTTTGGGGTGCCTGTGATGTGTTTTATGATACTGTATTTTTCCTGCTTGTGATAATTATGTTAACCCATTGTGTGCCATAATTAGATCACAGGCAGGGGGGAGGATTTTGTGTATAATTGCTGGGAGTGTTTTCTGTAATGTACGTGTGTTATTGGTTGTTCTGTAAAACCCTGTGGGCAGTACTAAGTTTGTGGACTGGGAATAAAAGAGGCTGTATGTGCCAGTACAGTCAGTTCTGCTTGACCTCAAAACGAAGTGTCGTCTCGTTATTGGGGGAATTGGATTGTATGCTGATTGCCAGGAGTGTAAGCTGATTGTATGCGTTTCCTGTTCAGCTGCTTACAGCATTCACATACTTGAGAGCATTTGTATGCTTCTCTGGTTCGGTGGTTGTGGTATCTGCTGCAGTGCTTGGAGTCCTCAGGAATCTTTACAAAGATAATTCAGGAGGTCAAGGAGGAGAGGAGGAAAAGATACATGGAAGAAATATGGCCTTTTATTGACATACAAATCCTTCAATGTCATGCTGGCTTGTCATCTTTTTACAGAGAAGCCGTCAGAGCCATAATCCAGCAGTGGTGGACTCGGGCAACACATGGCACTGTATGAGCGAAAGCTTCCACCATTGCAGACAACCAAGCCTGTGGATCAGATGGCACTCAAGCAAGCCAGTCAATCCGATAGCAGAAAAGACTGTTCAAAAAAATCTGGCTATAGGTCCAGGGCAGACTTATTACAGAGAAGGAAAAAGTCAGTCAGTCCATATAAAACGTCCCACCAAAGCAGGGAGAGAACTCCTAAGGACAACGGGAAACTGGGAGTTCCCTGTTTATCGACATACAAACCACTCAATAACATTCAGTCTCACCATCAGATCAGAATTCAGCAGTGGTGTACACGGGCAACACTCAGCTTTGTATAGCGAAATGCTGGCTCCATTGCAGACAACCAAACCTGAGGATCAGGAGATGGCTCTCAAGCCAGTCAGTTCATCCGATAGTAGAAGAGTGTAACGGAACGCCTGGCACCCCGACCGAGTACCTTCCGCTGACACATGCTCCTAGTGCTTTCCGAGGGCTCCAAGCACTCCACCTGACACCATAACCACTGCAGATCCCACGAACCGCTGCAGCTTGGTTGGGGTCTCGCCGTCTCCACCCACTCTGGACCCAAGACCAGGGTCCAGCTTTCAGTAGGTCGACCTCTCTGAATTCCAGAGAGCAGGAACAAGCTCTTAGCAGAGCTTAATGATTATACCCTGGGGAGTATAGTGATTATAGCAATCACCAGAGTGTAGTTCTCCAATCCCCCAAACATGAGCCGAAACTTCATGAAGGTACAGGATGATCTGTTTAATGAGCACCAAAGGACTTTCTTTTATACAGGCTTTCAGGCCAAAGGCACAGCCTCTGAACCTGGTGGTAAACTGGGACAAAAGGGACACAAACCAATGGGAATACTAATTAACAAAATAACACTCCCACATGCACAGTAAAATCCCTCCCCTCTATCCTGGAGATAATTGGCTTAAGTAACCGTAGTAAACTCAATTATCTCCAGGTACAGATAATATCTCCATTTTACACTTACAGTAAAAGTACATAAAAATACATTATTCCTATTATACTAAACAGAACCCCCACATTTCCCCAGATAGCTCGGATATGAGCGCCCAATATAGGCGAACAGCGCTCAAATCTCACGAACAGAATAAATTTGCCATGAGGTTAAAATTTTGTGGAAGCCTCCTTTGCCCCGACCACACGCAGGATTTTCTGCCCAATACAGTTCCATAGATTTGGGCTGTGCGTGCGGTCGGTCTATTTCACATAGAAAAAACAACGCACGAACGGCACCGTTCGTGCAAATAGCCCATTATAACGTGGCGTTCGAAAAGTCGATTTCAGTTCCATGAGTTCAACGGCAAAACACCACTGACCGCGTTCGACTAAACAAGATGGCCGCCGCCACATGTTCGACCGTACGAACAGCGTCCACCCAGCGTTCGACAATTCACCTACGGTTAACCAACAGCCTGGGAGGTAAATTGGCTGCACACTCCACTTGTGTGTGGTCTGCCTGTTCGGTAATTTGTTCAGTAAGCTCCATTTACCGAACGATATAAGCAAAAGACACAAACAAAGTATTTTCACAGTCTGGGGAAACAGTCTTAAAGGGACATTGTTCCCAAAAGTCTCAATATGCCCATATGTTTTTAAAGGGCTATACACCCCAGGGCCATAGTCATAAGGCAGGAGGCTGGCAATCCGGCTCCTCCAAAAGCCAGTGACAAAAGGCAGTTTGTCACAAAGAGACTGTGCAAAGAAATCGGGCTATATGTCCAGAAGAGGAGAATTACGGCAGTGTATGGAGCATGGGTGCTATGCTGCTTCACTTAAAGGAAATAGGAAAAGATACAGCAACTCTCATGTCAAAAATAGAAGATTTTGCCAGAGAGGCCCCGACCGGGCAAAGTGACGATCAAGATTATATCTTCAACTGCGATTGGCCCGACTGCGAAAGAAGCCACATAGGGCCTGACCCCTATTTACCACACAAGCCTGTGGAGGAAAGCGAAACATCTATGCACACCGCAAAGAACAGCCCTGTGCAGCCCCATACCGGGAAAGGACTTGGCCCAGAAAGGACACAGAGCCCATGCAATGCTGGTACCGGCTCCTGGGGGTCCCAGGGCAGGAGGGGCACTTCATCTGGCCTGTGGTGCTTACACTGAGACACTGGGTGCCGAGGGTAAACGCGTGAACATCTATTC